TCTTACAAGATAACTGTTTTTGGTCAATCCTCATTATGACTAGAAAATAAAGAAAGAAAGCATGACCAAAATCAATAAAGCATAATGGAAAACCAAAACAGCAAGATTCTTATATAGACCCTAAATACACAAATGTGTACACAGACACACAGATGAGAGAGAGAGGGAGAGAGAGAGGGAGAGAGAGGGAGAGAGAGAGAGAGAGAGAGAGAGAGAGAGAGCGCAAACCATTGTATGTAAATGCTACAAAATGTTGCACCCTTGTATACACCCATCCTGTTCTCCAAAAAGGATCATCCACAGCATCTAGAAGTGTTTTCAAACTGGATCCCAGATGACAACAGAACTGTATGCAAAAATAATTTAACGACACAAATCCATAATAATTAAGGACATGAAGAAAAAGTCCTCGTACAAAGATCAGCCATCTACGTTCAAGCATCCAGAAGCATACCTCCTCCCACGTGGATTTTTCAAGACGAAGGTAAATTGTCAAAATGATACAGCCCGGCCTTATGTAGCTTTCAATGTTCGTAGGACTCTGGGATAACCAGTCGAGGATCTGGATATTCAAATAATTTATAAAAATCATGTTGTCTGTGGAATGAAACACCAAAATACACTGAAAAGTAGCAAAATCAAGGGAAAAATAATACCTGTGATCGCAGAGCGAACGGAAGTTCACTTGGGTCTTTTCCAAATAGTTTAAAAACAATTCGGTCTGTGCGACTCTGATATGTGGCAGAAAAAGAGCGGTTAAGAAACGTAAAATTGCAGATACATTCTACATACTGGCCCTTTACATAAATTATGAATGTTCCATAGGATTGCTATAACCACCTAGTAACTTTAGCTTCAATTCTATTAACAGTATCAAGCAGATGCGTACACAATGAGTGTGTTTGTGTGTGTTGTAAACTGCCATATTGGTTTGACTGAAGAGTATACTGATCTCAAATTTTATGTCACAATTGAAGCATTTCTTAGATATATGCCATAACCAAGTGGCGATGCGCTCTTCACCTCACCATTGTTTGGGCAATCAATGGGAAAGATACCCAGATAAGTTCGGGACAGAAAACATGACTGCCTAACTACTCTCAAGGATAGAACAAAGCTATTCTACTATCCAAACAAAAGGACAAGTTATATGCGTATAATGATTAATGACCATTGACAGATTAATCCCTAGTCTCGGGGAAAAAAAGATGACTACAGTTCTGTACACAATGAAATGAAAGACTAAACTGTTGAGGTCCTTCAATATAATCTGATGAACATGAGCAGTGGGCTGAGCATCATCCAAGACAAAGGCATTTTTAAGCATTACATTACCAAGCAATTATATAGGGAATAGATGCAACTACAACAAGGATATACCTGAGCCTCTCCACTAGAACTTGATGGTGACTGAGTAGAAGTTAAGTCTGAATTTCCGCTTGTCTGAGGTGGGCTTGACTTGTGAGAATCGGGCTGCATCCATGAAGGAAAACCAAGAGATGCAGTGCCTGGACTTGCAGGAACATGAGAATTCCCTAGGTTCTCTACAAAGTCCTGTGAATCATCATATGTACTATTTAAATCAATGTCATTTAACTGGAACCTTCTGCTTGTAGGTTCCGGTGTAACTGATTTGGATTCAGAACTGTCTCTTGATGCCGGTAATATTGAACAATGTCCTTTAGGCCTTAATGGGTCCTCAGGATTAACACCATCATCCACATCTAGCACCTTTCGTGCAGTCTGGACAGATGTCCCACTGTTAAATAAACCTTGAGATCCCTGCAGCAATTTAGATATGTTTCTTCCATCAGCTGTACCAGCAACATTGGCTAAGCTCCTCAACAAATGAGATACGACATCCTGGTCCTTTGTTTGATCAGAACTACTAGCTGCAATTTATAAATGGCATGATATGTGGATTTAAATAAGTCTAAGATACAATGTCTCAGTAAGACAGAATAATTGAATGTGCAATGAATAAGGCATGTACTTACAGTGCATATTCGAGAGTATTCTCAGCAAGCTAATCAATAGATAACTGCTTCCGCCTTCATTATTTAAATAGCCTCCATTAACTGCAGTATCAGGATTTGTTTTTCGTCTCCTCCTATTATGGCCAGCCAAACGCCTACGGCAACTTCTCTTCCCTTCATCAAACTCTTGAAGAGCATGAAACCTGTCCATGAGTGTTAACCATGTTACATTTCATTCAAACAAAGAAAACTCTGCAGAACTCACAATACTTAAAAAAAAAAAAAAAAAAAGATTGATGAACAGCCATGGACAACAAACGCATAACAAGAAACTTACACAACCAAACTCTGTATTTCATCTTAATTCAAAGAAAATTGTGGAAATGTTTCGACAACCAAGAAATAACAATAGAATGGTACCAACCTGCTACACTGTTGACAGAATCGCTGCATAACATTTCCAACCAGTGCTTTAGTTGCCTTTGAATGCATATCACAGACCTTATGCCGCCGGTGGTAATCCTTGGCATTGCTAAGATCAGCCTTACAGTCCTCCACCTGACAAACTGCACGGTTTGAAGTAGTCCCAATTATCTTTTTTTTCTTCCCAGTTTGTACTTCTTCTTCCATAATGGGGTAAGTTTGCCCACCGAGCTTAAGATTAAGAGATGCAGCTTCATCATTCAACTCTCCGTTTTCCACAAAAACATCCCTTCTCCGTTTCTCCAATTCTCTTGTACCTTTCTCATTCCCCGGACTGATATTATCCGACCAGAAGAACTGTTGGACAAACCAGCATCCGACAGAGTTTCTGGCCTGACCGGAAAAAACTGCCTACTCCTACCATCAGATGGTGTAGAATTCAATGGACTAGCAGTAAAAAGATCACCATCCCATTTCCAACCATTCAAATCCCATTCCATACTCCTTGTCCCAACTCCCGTCAAATCCGGCACCTTCACACCACGAAAATTTCGACCCTTTCCTCCGAATTCAGACTCCATGGATAAAGATGCAAAAAACGCAGAAATATTACAGCGCACCAATTCAAACTCCACCAAATACAAACACCCAATTGAACAACAACAACAACAACAAAAAACTCAAGAGATAAAACTATAAATTTCAACCCAAAACAAAGAACCAATAACACTACAGTCCCAGAAATTTCTTGAAATCGTTCTTTCCAACAACCCCAGAAAACCAACAACAGCAACCCAGCATATCAAAGGAGCTAAACTACAGCTGCCCAGAACCCAAAATCCACCAATTAGCCACTTATTCTCTCAACATCTGAGTACAAAACACCATACTTGCAAGCCCACAATTACATCCTGGCAATGCTTCCAACTCCATGGAAAGAAACTTAAGCTGAAATAACTTCAAGAACTAATCTTTTTGTTTTTTTTTTTTTTGGTCAAAGAACTAATCTTTTTATGTGGAAATAAAGAGGAGAAAGAGAGTGATGAGAGAGAAACTTGCCGGCAGGTTGGTGAATTGTTGGGAGGTGAGCTGAGAGCTGACGAAGAAGTGGCTGAGATCGCAGGATGAGGCAGAGAGAATATAGGGCCCCGAGGCAAAACTAATCAGCTTCGGCACATGAAAATTTGGGAAAGGTTGGCAAAAAGGCACCGTCTCTCTGTATATAAATGCGGTTTCAGTGGGAAGAGAGAGTAAGAAATGAGGAGACTGGTGTGCTGGTGGTCACCTGTCTTTTACAAGCTAGGACACTCAAAAGACATGTTTCTCCTTTTCATTTCAACAAGAAACTAAATTAACGCTACAAGTCACAAGGTATATCATTCTATTGTTATAACAAAAAGGTGTGCGATATGATTAATAATGTTCATATGTTTCAGTTCTATGATACGTTAATGAATAGTATATTCACGTAGAATGAATAGTAAAGCTACTTGACCGTGATGTCTGCACACCAAAAAATTGTTCCACCCATCAAATAACTCTCTCACTCGTCCACTTTCATTTGAACTGATTGTCTTGTTAACTCAAGATCAAGATTTAATGATTGAATCATTGGCAATTAAAACCAAGGAGTAGTTCAAATAAAACGACATAATAATTGAAAAAGATAGTATTTATTGTCAAAATTGATAAAATAGTAGAAAAAGTTTAAACAAGATTATACTTGTGTTTTGTATAGTGTGTAGAAACAATGAATCGGATATCGTAGCGGACAACAATTTCAAATCAAAATATGAGTCAATACGTCTCTGCGACTGGACTCCCTTTCCTATTATTTTAGGGATGTGATGTGCACGTGTTTTTTTTATTTCTCACATATATTTTTAATTTTTGACCGTCAAATCAAATGGATTGAAAAATATCAAAGGATAAAATTTAACAAGGACTGTGTGAAAAGTAAAATAAAATGTATTGATAACACACTTTTTATTTTATTGTCCACTAAATTCCATTTTTCAGCTTCTTTTTTTCGCTAGTTAAAACAAATAAATTGGAGAAAAGCAACAAATTGCAAGCGGACAAGCTAGACAGTTTGACACTTTCATAAAAAACGAGACTATTGTATTTAGAGTAGTACTACATTTACCATCTAATTGTACTATCATTTATATCATCTCTTTAATAAATATAGACCCACCAACACATATAAATCTCGTCTTGTATTTAGATACCATTTGACCCCACGTGAGTAAGAACTTCCAAAGCACATAGCCCCAACCTTTATGAGTTAGTCATACACTCTCATGAAGGAATGTGATTCATTATATTTTGGGACCACCTAGCTTTACGTAAATACTAAATACAACTCCCAATGCACCAATTCTAGTGAGAGTGGTCTAAACAACTTCGTGGACAGGCTGCCGTACTAAATATTACCTTGTGTTTAAGAGAGTTGTTTATTAGCGAAAGAGATCCCAAGTCCGAATCTTCTATCTCGTTGAAACCAATGTTTGTAGGTGTTTTAGGACATAATGACGAGGAGCAATATGCTTGTCTCAACGATACAACCTGGTGAGGAATCCTCAAAAGAGACCATATAGATAAACATACAAAAACAACCCAAAAGGCCGTTTTCATGCCTATTTAAATCGGTCAATAATTCTATTTACTTCAATCTTTCCCCATACATACTTTATATGAACTATCATTAATACATACCGTGCAACACGTCTCGTCGAAATCTTAAAGGATACGAAAACCGGTACATTATTTTCCCTATAGAGTTATAGGTTCATATATATATATATATATATGATTAACAGAAACGGCCTAAAGCAAGAGGAACTAAGATTTGAGAAGCGTAAACTGCCCTTAGCTGGTTCCATACTTCAAGCGTTCCCACGTGAAGGGCTGGAAGATATAAAGGACTTCAGGTGAGCTTTTGAATAGCAAGGCAGCGCAAACACAGACAGCAGCAATGGCTACCATTGACAGCATTGCCGGCCTGTACACAAGCGACCTAGTGTTGCCATAAGCTAGTTTCATTTCACATAGCTTGCAATGTGCCTGCATTGCTTTCATATCAATCCTTTCGGTCTCCAAGCTGGAGACTTTTGAGGACCTATGCCTGTCTAATTGTTTCTTCTTGCTGCTGCTGTCTAAGATAACGCCAGGGATATCAAGCACCACGTGCCTGCTTTCATGTTTCTTGCTGATTTTCCTCTGGACAATTTGGATGTAGGTGTAGCAGCTTCGCAGACATGCATAATCATTTGGTGTCAATCCTGTACTGTCTCGAGCATTTCCCCAAGCTTTAATTCCCACCTAAAGAAGGCAGAAATATCAACATTTGTATGCTTGAAAATAGACGATTTGAAGTATCAAATTTCATGTGCGACACAGAATAAGCTGACACGAGTCAATTGTATGAGCAAATGGTCAAACATGTAAAAGAAAAATGGATGCTGATGCAGACCTGTTGTGAGTTTTACCTCCAGTTAAAAAGAAAACAGTGTCAAAGAAGATCAATGAGAAATTACCATTCCGGGATCATCAGTTAAGGCATCCAATATGTTCTCACATCCATCAGTACTGGCTGCAACATGAAGAGGAGTCAATCCCATCAGCCCAACTGCGTCAGGTTTAAATAAGAATTTATTGCCATCCCCGCCAACTTGTTGGCCGTCCTCTGATCCTGTTTTGCCTAACCCTTTATCTAGGACAAAACTTAACAAGAGTTCCACCATAGGCCTGCACTTTCTTCGCACAGCTCTGTGAAGGAGGCTCATGTCCAACAATGCAAGCTCAATAGAAGGATGTTCTCCGGCGTCAACGGTACCCTCAAGCAGAATGCCTAAGAGTTTCTTCACTACAGCACACCAATCATGGTCCATGGAGAACTCCAAAAGCAGCCTGAACCGTCTAAAAGGAAATAGATCTAGTTTGGGATCCATGTGACCGAGTCTAAATTTAGTGTGACCTCTATGAAGGAGCCAACCCAATTCATTTATAAAGTCCATCGCTTGGTTCTTGGCTTCCAATTTTTCAGGTTCTGCTTGGATGTCATCGGCAGTCTCAGCCCCCTCAATTGCACCCTCCAGCATACAAATCTCTGAACATACTTCCTGCTCGGCAACTATAAATGGAAAGAAGCTGCTGCTGAGACCATGATCTTCAACCTGAGATAAAAATAAACAAAATAACAATAAAATAAAGAAAAATTTATTAAAAAGTCAGAAGATTCAGAACTCCTAGATTTCATATATTCTTCATGCCCAAGTAGTTGTTCAAGACACAAGTCGTCCAATTTACTATGTCAAATCACAACACTGAAGAACCCTTGACAATTCGAAAAGAAATATCACTGGTAAGTATTTGTTAATCACAACACTGAAGGGTGGCCCCAACAGAGTTAAATACTTGTTACTGATCTTGCTCTGCTTAAAAATTTCATTAATCTGTCATACACAGACCTCAATTGACTATCAATTGGCAAGCTCACTTCAAGGGAAATGTAAAAATATATCAGGCAAATGACAGCACCTCAATGAATCCTCGGCCAGTAACATTTGGTATAGAGCAGGAAAATCTGAGGCACTGTAGCTGATCATTTTCAATGGTTGTATCAGCACCATCCACCAAGTCATAACAAGTTTCTTGGACTAGATACTTCCCTTCCAGAGCACAGAGCAACCTGTGATGAGCTAGGACTTAGTATTTTCCCAGTTATCCTGATAATTATTAATTCATAAATAACATCTAAAACTAGAGAGGTCCACATAATCATTGCAATTACTGAAAAAAGGTAATGGAGCTTTAATAAAAAATGATGAAGGATACCTTGTGGTGGCATGAGAAAGGTTAAACCCCTTTACTGCAAAGTCAGCTCTTTGTGATAAAGAAACAGCAATTGGTTTGATGCATGATATCCTGCAGTTTTTATTGCTTTTCAGAGGTAAGGGTGTGTCTAAGACAACGTGACCTGCAGGACAGACATAACTAATCAAAAAGACTATTCTTTCGTAAGACCATTATTTTGGTAAATCCCTAATGCGTTAGTAGATATGTGAACGAATAACAAAATAAAGCAAGACATACATACATGGACCCATGTGTGTGTGTGCGCGCATATATCACATACATATGCATAAAAAATAGATGTTTGTGTATGCGCGCGCACATATCACAGACATACGAATAAAAAATAGGTGTGTGTGTGCATGCATGAGAGAGAGAGAGAGAGCGAGAGAGCAAACCATTGTACGTAAATGCTACAAAATGTTGCACCCTAGTATACACCCATCCTGTTGTCCAGAAAGGATCGTTGGCAGCATGCAAAAGTCGTTTCAAAATGGATCCCAGATTACAGCACAGCTGTATGCAAACATAATAATTAAGGACACGAAAAGAGATCTTCCTGATACAAAGATAGCAATCTACATTCTGGCATCCGCACAGAAGCATACCTCCTCCCACGTGGATTTTTCTAGACGGAGGTAAACTGTCAAAATGATACATCCCGGCCTTATGTAACTTTCAATGTCTGTGGGACTGTGGGACAGCCAGTCGAGAATCTGGATATTCAAAATATTTCATAAAACTGTTGCATGTGCGATGAAACACAAGTTACATTGTGAAGAACTAAAATCAAGGCACCAAATATTACCTGTGATCGTAGAACAAATGGAAGATCATTTGGATCTTTTCCAAAGAGTTTAAAAACAATACGATCCGTGCGACTCTGAAACATGGCAGAAAAGGAGTGGTTAAGAGGCGTAACAGTGCAGAAACATTTTACACACTGGCCCTTCAGACTAAAAAATATTAAAAAAAAGGATACTCGACTCTAACTGCTATAGCCTACAAAGCTCTTATAGTTCAACTACAATTCTATTAGCCTTATTATTAAGCAGAAGCATACACACACATTTATATATACAAAGCACTAAACAAAAGAAGAGAATCCATCTCAAGTTTTACGTCACAACAGAATTATTTATTAGGTTAGGTATGCCGTAACCAAGTACTTCATGTTTTTTCAATCAATTGACTAGGCAAATGGACAAGTCAAGAACGTAAAGCATTGCCACCTAAATGCTGAATTAAAGTGAGAACAAAGCTATTTTTCTATCCAACAGAAAGGGACAGGTTATGGCATATACAAGCATTAGTATACCGAGCAACAACTAGGAATGAGATGCAATTACAACAAGAATATACCTGAACCTCTCCACTAGAACTTGATGAAGTTGAGTAAGAAGTCCCACTTGTCTGAGGTGGGCTAGACTTTTGCAAATCCTGCCGCATCCGTAAGGGAAAACCATGAGACACAGTCCCTGAATTTACAGGGGCTTGAGAATTCCCTAGGCTGGCCAAATAGTCCTGGGAATCGTCATATGTATTATTTAAATCAATGCCATTTAACTGGATCCTCCCCGTTGTAGCTTCTGGTGCAACTGATGTGGATGGAACTCGGTCTCTTGAGGGAAATGGCTTGGTGGCATTTACACCTGAAACAACTTGCAGACCTCCATGATCGGCATCAACTGAAGATATTATCCTGAAATCTGATGCAGGTACTGTAGAACACTGTTGTGTAGGTCTTGAAGGGTCCTCACGATTACCATAGTCATCCATCTTAGAGGCTGAAACAGAAGGCTTACTTGGTTCACAGCCATTGGAAACTGTATCTAGGACCTTTTGTGCAGTCTGAATTGATGCCCCACCATTTAGTAAACCTTGAGATGCCGTAAGCAATGCAGACATGTTCCTTCCATCAACTGTACCAGAAAGATTGGCTAGATTCTTCAAAAGATGAGAAAGCAAATCCTGATCCTTTGTTTGATCTGAACTATTAGCTGCATTTTATAGAAGGTATAAAAAAATGGAGTTGAATAAGCCACTTATGACAAGAAAAACAAACATAATCAATAAAATAGTATAATAACATGATCGCTGAGACATAATTTCCTAAATAATTGTTTCTAGGGAATTAGAAGTCAATATAATAGGCCCATCGTTCATGCATCCTAGAATGTGAAATATGGACAGTCCAACAATCAGAGCAAGAAAGTGCAACAAACAATGGTGCATAGGATGAAATTCAAGCATACAAGGAGTGCTCTGGCATATAAAACTTGAAATAGTGAGTCATCATATTATTTTGCATAGGTATCTACATTGAATTTATATTATTAAAAAAATTTAACTCTAAAAATAGAAAACTTTTGAATTTTTGAACATGAATGTCTGCACAAAATTTTAACTTTCTATTGAATTAACCTCAGAAAAATTGAAAACTTTCCATGACTAGGCATCAATATTCAAAATTTCATCAAATTAACCCCAGAAAAACTAGCACTTTGTCATTCGTACAGAAAAAATAGCACGCCTTAAGCAGTTAGGGACTCATCAATTAATATGTCATATCTCCACACGAAACAAATGAGTTGTTTATTGATATAGTCATTTTCCTACAAGCCTCAATCAAATAATGACAAAACCCATGAACAAAAGACCACAAGAACTTTGACATCAGCAGATAGCAATCAGCACACAATTCTCTAACCAATTAACATATCAATTTACTGTCCAGGTAAAGCAGCCGGAAATTGAATGCCAATAAGATCAAGATTTACAGTGCATGTTGGAGAGTATTCTCAGCAAACTAATCAATAGATAACTGCTTCCTCTTTCATCGTTCAATGAGCCTTCATTAACTACAGTATCGGGATGTGTTTTTCTTCTCCTCCTATTGTGGCCAGCCAAACGCCTACGACAACTTCTCCTTCCTTCATCAAACTCTTGAAGAACATGAAACCTGCCCATGAGTATAACCACATTGCAAATTCAACAAAGAAATCTGCAAACTTCAAGTATATCTAACACGGTGACGAACAGCTGTGGACCCAAATCACGAGAACAACAAACTCTGTATTTCATCTTCTAGAAACAATGTCTATAACTTACACAATCAAACTCTGTATTTCATCTTTTAGAAACGTCTATCAGAAATCAACAAATAAATGTCCTGGACCTTCTTAATTGAAGAAAATTTTGAAATGTTTCTCACCATACAAGGACAACCATAGAATTGAACTAACCTGCTACACTGCTGACAGAACCGCTGCAAAACATTTCCCACCGGCGCTTTAGTTGCCTTAGAATGCATATCACAGACCTTATGTCGTCGGTGGTAATCCTTGGCATTGCTAAGATCAGCCTTACAGTCCTCCACCTGACAAACTGCCCGGTTTAAAGTAGTCCCAACTATCTTCGTCTTCTTCCCAGTTTGTACCTCTCCTTCCATGATTGGGTAAGCTTGCTCGCCAAGCTTGAGATTAAGAGACCCAACTTCATTGTTTAAGTCTACATTTTCTACAATACTATCCCTTCTTCTTTTCTCCAGCTCTCTCTTACCTTTCTCATTCCCCGGACAGATGTCATCCGAACCAGAAGAAGAAGTGTTGGACAAACCAGCAGTGGAGGGAGTTTCCGGCGGCCCAAGCGGAAACAACTGCCTACTCCTACAATCAGATGGTGCAGCATTCAAAGGACTAGCAGTAAAAAGATCACCATCCCATTTCCAATCATTTAAATCCCACTCCACACTCTTTTTCCCAACCGCCTTCAAATCCGACACCGTCGGACTAGAGAACTTCCGAGATCCGGCTCCGAAAGCCTCCATAAATCAAAATTCCACAAAAACCCAGAATTTTTATAATGGCAAAGTCCAATTCCACCAGATATAAATACCCAATTCAACAAGTAAAAACAAGCCCAGATATGTAGCCTTGGATTTCACCCAGAAATCAATAATTTTACACTACAAGACCATAAATTTCTGGCAATTATTCTCTCTAGGCTCACCAGAAATCCAAAAGCAGTACACCACATAGCAACAGAGCTAAAACAGCAGCTGCCCATCTGCCCAAAATCCACAAATTACCCACTTATGCCCTCAAAATCCACACAAAATCAACACACTAAAAACCCATCAATTCCATCAAGCAAAGTTTCCAACTTTCACAAACAAACAGCTTCACGAGCATAAAATTCTGCAGAAACGAATCGCAAAAACAAACAGAGAAACTTGCCGGCGAGAGCTGAGCTGGTAAATCCCAGCAAGAGCGGCGGACGGATGAGATCGCCGGAGACGGAGGAGTCAGAGAGAATATAGCAGTACAAAGCAGCACTTGAAAATTAGGAAAAGGTTAGGAAAAGACTATAAAATGCGGTTTCAGTGGGGAGAGAGAGAGAACATTATGGGATTAATTTATTGATTAACAAATTAAAATTATATGACGCAGTGGGGGCAAAGGAATCTTCGCCTCCTGCTTTAGAAAGGACGAGGATGGTCTGCCCACCATTTTCGGTGCTTTCTCGTGTCATTTTGTTATTTGTGGGATAACAGTTAAGTCATATCAATATTTTATATTACTATTTATTTTTATCTTATTGTATCTATCAAAAAATATATAAAATATTAACGTGGTTTAACCGTGACCACATAAAACAGGAGGGCATCGAAAGTGGAGGGCAGACCATCCTTGTCCCTATAGAAAATACCAACACGGCTCTCCCGCTCGGACAAGGATTGTATGCCCTCCACTTCCGGTGCCTCCTATTTGTGTGGTCACTGTTAAGTTACGTCAATATTTTATATTATTATTTATTTTTATCTTATTATATCTATAAAAAATAATATAAAATGTTAACGTAATTTAATCGTGATCACACAAAACGAGAGAGCAGAACATTGGAATGGAGGGCAGACAATCCTTGTCCCTCCTGCTCTCTCTGTAGTGAGAGAAAGAGGAGAGAGAGAGTGAGTTCTGTACTGATGTGGCCAATGGAAGTTGAAGGGCTGATTGGAAATTCAGAAACTTTTTTTTTTTTTTTTTAACTTTGCATTAATCCAAGTAAAAAACCGGGCGTTTCGGGGAGAAAACGAGCAGAAGTGACTGCGTGCAGGCGCGACAGAAGGTAACTACGGGTGTTCGACTTTAAAATAAATAAATAAACAGCCTTCACCAAACAGACCGTTTTTTAAATTTTGTTTAAGAGAAACGCGTAGGAAAAAAAAAAAAATTTTAATTTTGTTTAAGATAAACACTTAGAAAAATAATGGATTTAACTAACTTCCAAAATAAACGGACCCCAAAATTAAAACCAAACTAGCCCGCCGAAAGCTATGTTACCAATTATTTTCAGATCAAAATCTTCAATAAAAACAAAAGAGGTATAATTAGAATCCCTGTAATTTTTTAACAATTTTTTGATAAAACAATTGTTTCATTTTAAGATTTGAATAAGATGCTTTAATCAATAGTCACGTCAACATTTTGTGTGAATGAACATATTTTTTTAGAAAATGAGAAGGAGTGAGGGAGAGAGAGAGAGAAAGAAAACGTGGGAAGAGTGGGAGATTTTGAGTTTTGTTTTTGGGTTTTTTTTTAATATTAATATTGAAGGTATTTTAACATCACGGATAGGTGAAGCTTCAATAAAATTTAGACCTGTGAAATTACATTATTACCCATCATTTTTTTTTGTGTGATAGAAGACTAATTTGTCTTTTCACCCTCTTTTGGTTGACAAAGAGGGTTTCATTAATTAGTAGAGATATGTTTTTACGGTAAAATTCTAATTATCAGTTTCCAAATATGTTCTTTTAAGAGTTTTTTATTTTATTTTTATGTGTCCTCTTTTTTAGGGAAATATTTTCTGCTTGTTGATAACGTTTGGAAATTAATCTTCACGTTTGAAATTTGTGCTCTCCCATGTTTGAAATTCGAATGGAATTTTCATTTTAATTAGTGGTTGTTTTTACAAATTTATCTTGTTCCCGTTTGGCAACAAGAGAGAATCTTGTGTTTGCTTGGCTTCACATCGGTGTTATTTGTGCATGGCTGGTATACTTTCTTGATACAAATATGGTTTTTCCTAAATGATTGTTTGAGACTGGAGTGCAAACTTTGTTCGTGTGCTACAAAAAACACAAACAATATTTGGTACGTTCCAAACTCACATTGCACAAACAATATTTAGCACATTTTTAATTACAATAACAAACACGTTTGTTACGGTAATTACTTTACGTACCAAATGACTAGTACGTTCAAAATTAAATATTATTTTACATACCAAAACACCTTGTTTTCTTTCTCCTTTGTAGTTATCATTACTACTCTTTTACTAAATTCACATCAACTTTATGAGATATTAAATTATAGGGGTGTGCTATCCACACACCCCTTTTGACTTCTCACACACCCCTAATTAATTTATGTCTGTTGATCTTCTTCAATTCATCTTATCCAACGGCCGAAAACTAAAAAGATGTGGGAGAAGTAAAAAAGGGTGTGTGAATATCACACCCCTAAATTATATCATGATTGACTATAGAAAGGCAAATATTATACGGGTATACCATGATTATGATATTATGTGTCAATATGTGTGTAAATTTTTAACTTATATGACGCTGTAACATTTTCAAAAGGAATCACAATACTTGTGTATTCGGCCGAATTATGTAAATTACTCTCTTGATCGACCAAATGATTGGAAACCCACATTCTTGTGGACCATATTAATTCACTATTGTAGCTAGGACTCTCCTTTTGCCTTTGGGGATAACTGTGGAGCCAAAAATATTCACTATGCAACACGTGGACTTTTGGACAAAAGAGGACAAAAATACCCTCGAGGCATACCGGGTTTCCTACACGCGAGCAATGGAGAATCATCCATCAACCAAGTCAAGAGTACCCAAAATGGGTAACAATTCAAAACCTATTTCATTCCATATATGTTTTTACCTCATTTTTTCCTTATTCAATTAGCCATTTATTTCAAACATTCCATAACATCCTCAACCAATTAATATAATCAATATATTAAAGGCTAATTACATCACCAAATTAAGCCCAAAAATCACCCTAAAGGCCGGTTATCCCTTCTCCAAAGGGAGCCGGCCATTTCCTTCTTTTTTCACCATAATTTTCCTTTTTGTGACATTGATTAGCCAATTATACAAAAAACCACCAAAACATTCATTTTATGTTTAATAGCCAAATAAATTGGCTAATTAAACCTAAATCAAACCCAAAAAACCCTAGCCACCTCCTATCCCTATAAATATACTCTCATTTCTCACCAAAAAGCCAATTCCAACACTTTGGCAAAAATCCCAAAAATCTCTAAACACTCTTTCTCTCTAAATTCTAACTTTGGCATCGGAGGTTCTTCGGCCAAAGCCCCCCCCATTCATCGTGGGCGCGTAAGGCTCTTGGCCTTAACCTAAGGTGTTAATTGTTTTGTAGGTGCAAAATTGTCCAAGATCAAGGAGGAAGAAATTTGCATCCACAAATTGGTGCTTTCATTGAGAGCTGAAATCCATACTCGTAGAAGACTCTCGCACAAAAAGGTTTTTTCTTTATTTTCTAGTCCATTTGAATATTTTTCATACGTTCTTATTATTAGAATTTTTTACTTGCAAAGGTTCTTTGATAAAACGTATAAGCAAAATATAATGGCTAGAAATTTAGAAATTTCCACAAGTGAAAATTCTAATGTTCAAGAAATGGGATTGCGGAGATCCGTGAGGCTAAATGCGACAATAAGTGGAGCGGCACCACCACCACGAGTTTCCACCATGGGAACCACCACGGTGGCTACCTCGGTAGCCACCCGTGGAGAGGTCCATGGAGCCTTCACCACGGCTCGAGCAGTGTCATCCAAGGCTTACGGCACCAAGGCCACGGCCCAAGTCGTGCCATCCAAGTTTGCACGGGCCTGGGCCCAAGCCTCGCATTCGCATGCATCACATACTAAGCAGCCTGCTCCCGCCAAGCAACCTGCTCCCGCCAAGCAGCCTGCTCTCGTGACCTAACCTGCTCCCGACGAGCAGCCCACTCCCGTGGTCCAGCCTGCTTCCGTCGAGCAGCCCACTCTCACGGCCCATCCTGCTCCAGTGGTTTTCAAAACAGCCCAAGTCGGCCCAAGACTATCTCAACCATCCGGACCTACCATCGAGCCGGGGGCATTCTCACCATATTTTTTCGCGAATTTGACATTTCCCAACTCAAATCTCGTGCCCAGAGTCTACCACTCTTCCATTGCCCAAGGAGGCACATTCATTCCAAGCTCTTCCAACCCAAATGGAGAACAACACTTGTCATGACAGGTCATAGAGTTGACAACCGTCCTCGCACAGCAGACGACCTTGGTGAACCAGCTCTTGCAACGCATCGAGATGCAACGTGCCCCAGACAAGATGTTCCGAAGTAGGACAAGGGCAGACAAAGAACCACTCTAGTAGCGTCCCGGTAAGCAGCCACTTGACTAGCCACGAACGGAGCGTTCAGGCAGTATACACTCCCGATTGGGCCATCGAGATAGAGTATACTCCCGTCTTAGAGCGTGGAGGAGCGTGCACTCTCGACTAGGCCCACAAACGAGCATACATTCACGGTTAGGGTCACACTCCGATAGTCAACATGAGCAGTTTTCCAGGCGAAGTGTTCATTTACGGCTAAGCCCGCAAGGAGCATCATCCACCTCACATCAGAGTAGGCAGCCCGACGGACGGAGAGAAGCAATCACTCAATCCAGCTCAAGTTCAACCAGCAGCCTGCGAAAAACTCGTTCGCCTGCTAGGAACGCACCATATGCACTGCATCCACGGCATAGACGAGCCAAACACATGGAAGAGCAGCCTAGACCAGCAAGTCATGGCTGGGGGCAGCCGAAAGCTTCGCTACCCCAACAAAGGCAAATTCAGGAAGAAGTAAAGAGACTTTTGACCAAGCGATTGCATGATTTCTAACGCAACGAGGTCACCAACGAGGCACTACGACGGAACATGACCAACATAAGCAGGTCACCCTTCACAGATGAGATCGAGCAGGCAGAGCCTCCACGCGATTTCGGCATGCCACATTTCACATCTTTCAAAGAGGATGAAGACCCGAAGAGACACTTAAAGTGCTACCGAAGCGCAATGATCCTTTATCGAAACAACGATGATCTCATGTGCAAGATATTCACCACCACTCTATAAGGCGAGGTGCAAGATTGGTTCTACACCCTGCCGCCACAATCCATCCGAAATTTCTACGAACTTTCTTTGGTTTTCACTAAAGAATATTCATCATATCGCTCGATCAAAAAGAAGTCTGACCATTTGTTCGACGTCAAGAAGAACCCAAAGGAGTCGCTTTGCGACTATATGAGGAGGTTCAAAGTAGAGAAGGTAAAAATAGTCTGATGCAACGATTCGATAGCTAGAGCAGCATTCCAAAAAGGACTTCCAGCAGACCACCAGCTATTCGAAAAAT